GGGTGTAGGGGTTTGGGATTTAGGGTTCAGGGTTTAGGGCTTCTTGCAAATTCACAGCCCGTTTCATGGGGTAGCATATGGAGTAGGCATCTGCGAAAGTGGCCATCGCAAGACTCAAGCGCGCAGCGTCGGCCATGGAAAAAGGGGACACGACAGGGCTCGTCAATGTGGTGGGGAATCAGTGGGTTTAAAGCCCCTGACAGTGGATCATCTTGGGCCGGACAAGCAATCATCCGCTTGTTCTTGTGGAGTGCTTGCGACCGGCAGTCTATATCTGGTGCCTCCCGCGTGTGCCTCATGGTGCACCGCCTGAACCGCCAGCCCAAAGGCTTTGAGCCCCCTTTGTGCCCAAGCCCATACTTGGAGGTTCATGAGTAGTTGTCAGTAGGGTTATAAGTAGGGTAACTATAGTTGTAACCTATATTAGGGGACTTATAACTCCAATAATAACTACCCATGAACCTCCTAGTATCCCTTCTAGCCAGACCAGGGGAGCCAGAGGCGGACCTTTGGAGTTACTCATAGGCCCCAGAGTAGTTCTTTTTTGGGGCTACCTAAAAGGATTCTATGTATGAACCCCCAAAAAAGGAACTACTTTAGGGCCTATGGCTAGTTTTGACTTAGAAAGACAAGCCATGTTGCGACGATAACGCTGCTGGGGTTTCTCGCGGTATACAGTATTCAGTAGTCACTGTTCGTTCTCTTGAGGTCGGGGTGGCAACTGTCCAGCCTCAGATAGCCTTGCCAACGTTGTGTCAATCCGGAGCTGAATCTCCAGATCAAGGGCTTCACTTCCTGGCCTCTCCAAGGACAGGACCAATGCATGGTGCAATCTGCCTTGTGTGCCCTTCCGGACTCGCAGATTAATGGTTTTCTGTGCCTGTTGATCGCCAGATCCCACGATCGGAGACGACGTGGGTGGACCAGCGCGTGCGTGTCGTGTCCGGGCCCCGACCATTTTTGCACATGCTAGTCGAACGAGTAACTACGACATGTAGGTGCCTGCATGATTGGTCAGACTGTTGCTTCGGGTTGCTTACACATTTCGCCCAAACCCCATTTCAAGCATATAAGCCACAGTTTAAATCACAGTCATCAGAGGAATCAGAGGGTGTTGCTGTCCGCGAACACCGATATATGCGGCGCTGCCGACAGTGGCACTGACGACGACCACCACTCCTGCTGCCCCGGGTTCTACTACTACTGCGACGACGACGACGACGACGACGACGACGACGACGACCACGACTACCACGACTACTACTCACGGCGACGGCTAGTAGCCGTACTTCTTGCTACTGAATGTTGGGCAGGGCATAAACAGCGCTCTGCTTAGAAAGAGCTGCCGATTATTTTCGTGGCAGTTGCATGTGAGCAACTTCATTTAGAAGCCGGCATAACTGGTCTAGCTCGTTATGGTATAGGAATGTACAGTCTATCCCACTAAGCTATCCGTTTTACGGCCCCTGTATTTCTATCCCGCACGAACGTGTTGCGTTGTCAGATGTTTGTGGGTTTGTGGGGGTGTCGGGGCCTGAGAGTTCAGGGGGTTCTAGCAAGTCGGAATGGGATTTGCCTTGGGATACAAGAGCCTACCAATTGCCTAGTGTTTTGAGGGATGTACTTTATGATTTGAGGGGTCATAACCTGCTATTTTGTAGGGTGTGGAGCTACAGCATCGGCAGGGCTATTCCTTACGAAGTCTTCAATAGTAATACTCTGCTTTGGGGAGTGAGGCTTACTCTGCCATGTTGTCTAGTGTACGATGCCTGCGGCTTTGGATTTGTCGTTGAGGACGGGTCTCTTTGGAGTGGAAATCATGTACATAACATAATTTGGGTACCCATATTTCATACAATATACTATAACCATATACTGGAATAAAAATACAACTACAACTAGACAAATGTATCTGTGTGTGTATATATATATAACGTATAATACAATCCCGAAACCAACGCGCGCTGGATTCTCTGAAACCTGCAGAGGGTCCATATATACTACCATCATGGAGTTAGATCCCAGAAGACCGTGCCCATTATGGTGGCTATTGGGGTATTGGGGAGTTCATGCCATAATAGTAGTAAGTATAAATCCTCTTGGGCCCTCAAGCCTTACAGCCTGTAGCTCAACAGCCGAAACTGTGCTGGGTTCGATTGTATTTCCGGGGTATGATTCTTATCCCCGATCCCTAGATCGAAGCGCTGAGCCCTTATCCAGGAAGCCAAACTTGACTGTTGACCCCGAGGCTGGATGCTATCGAATGGTATTTTGACCCCAAAGCTTACATGTGTGCGTCTTTAACAAGTCCTCAGGGCCTTATGGCTCGAGTGTCTATTTTGCTGAACCCGCATGGTCCCCATAGCTCACTATACCCGACAACCCAAGTCTAGTATTCAGGGGCCCTATACCTGTAACCCCCCTGAAAACAAGGACGAATTAACATACTACACCCTAAACTCTGAACTGCATAAACCCTAAACCTAAACCCTGAAGCATAAACCCTAGACCCCTGAACCCTAGACCTTACAAAGCCTCAAGCCTAAACCCTAAACCCAAAAAGCCGATGAGGTCCGACTCCCTACGTGGGCTTGTCGAAGCATGGCGCAAGCTACCAGCGGACAGCCGGTTGTGTGTTTGAGTTTGTAGATTACCCATAGGCCCCACAGTACTTCCTTTTTGGGGTTAAAATAGGATTCTATATATGAACCCCCAAAAGGAACTACTTTAGGGCCTATGGGTAGGGCTTTGGGGCTATGGGTTATAGGGTTTAAGGGATGGGGCTCATGAGTTGATTAGGCCTTGGGGATTATTGCTATGGGGTATAGGTTTCATTTTAAGGGGAGGGTCCGATTTAGGGCTTGGTGTGTTGGAGTTGTTGTTGCTTGTGGTTGGTGTTTTTCCCTCCTCCTGTTGAATGGTCTTTTGGCAATAAGGCCCTGAAAAAAAGCGCTAAGCCCTAAACCCTGAACCCTAAGCCCTAAGCCCTAAACCCTATAAACCCCAAGCCCCAAACCCTAAACCCATAAAGCCCTAAACCCTAAACCCTAAATCCTACACCTTAAGCTCCAGGGCTGAGTAGCGAGTAGGGATGGTTCACAAACAGTAGACCCGCATAGAGCCATTCGATGGACATCGACGCATACGGGGTCCAACCTCGCCTAAATGTTTCTCAAGACTATTCTTGAGTATCAAGACTATTCTTGAGGGTTCCTAGTATTATTCTTCTAGAGCATGCCTCAGGACTCCATGTTGATTTTTCAGGCCCCTAAGTTCAGGGCGTAGCAGGAGTCCCCAAGATACTTGCATTCGGCAAATACCCTTCAGTCCTTGCATAGTGGTAGGAAAAGAGGCAAAACTCGAGTGCAGCAGGAGTCTTGCCAATCTCGAAAACTTCAAGGCCTTAATTAACAAAAGCCCAAAGCACCAACTGTAACATAGAGAAAGCTGAGCAACACTCTCAACCGCAGCGACAGCCTTCAAAGCCAGCGCAGGACCGCGGGATTACGGACCCGCTGGGAGCCCGGCTTCAAATCATCAGGCCGTTCGGAAAACAAGAAATTCACCAAAAGTCCTAGGACCCCGAAAGCCCGAGACTGAAAAAGCCCACATCTTGACCAAGCCTCACCACGCTGCAGCGAAGCATCATCAAGACTCGCCAGCAGTCCAGTAAGAGTATTTGGGACTTCCTCGGCTGAGGGTGCGAGCTTTGTTGCTAGGAGGTTATGGTTTAGTCTTCAGACAAGCTTAGCAGTGTCGTTTGTTACTGTGTTTGACGGTTTGCGGTCTAGGGCTGGCATTGGCATTTTGATGTTTTGGGTGCGTATGCCATGGGTACGAGATAGATGTTGAAGCTAAGATGTTTTGTTCAAGTGTTTATCACTCAAGCAGGTTTGGGGTCTTGTGGCTTGAGACGAGGACCTGCTTCTTCATAGGCACCCTGTTCGGATCTGTAAGGGTTAATATATATAGGGGCCTTCATAATTAGTTACAGGGTGTTGGGGCAAGTTATACTATAATTATAATAAGGAACCCCTCCGAAACCCTCTTCTAATTATTAAGGCCCTAAACCCTAAGCCCTAAACCCTTACATTAACGCATGGGGAGTCTCTGTCCGAATACCGGCGTCGGGCTTGAAAATCGTGCTCAAGCCCACAGGCCGAAAGCGGCAGCACTTTCCGGAGTGTTTTGGGGTTCAGAGGTCCCGGTTGCACTAGCCCTTGCGGCTGATGTGGAGGTTCTCACTTATCCTCAAAATCGCCCATCCCGAAACCAAGAGCTCATCACCTTAATTCCGTCCTATCAAGCTCCGCTCTTTCGGCTTCCAGTCCCGACCGACACACACACACACACACACACACGCCCACCCCACGACCCTCGACCCCCACTTTGAGGTGCATGTTTGAGGGGCGTGGCTCTGTAGCACCCGTCGCATTGGCAGCGGCCGTTCTTTCCAACCCTGTGACCTGCGAAGCCTCGGACCCTCCAACTGATAAAAACCCTAAACTCTAAAGGGTTTGATATAGGGGCCTTCATAATTAGAATAGGCTTTGGGGGTATACTATACTATAAGTCTAAAAAGGAACCCCCAAAACCCTGTTCTAATTATTGAGGCAAAAACATTAGGGTTCAGGGTTTAGGGTTTAGGAAACCCTACACCCCTGAACCCTGAACCGCTCTTGCACCGCTGAGCTTGAAACGCTCAGCCAGAGAGTTTCGTTTGTGGAAGATGTTCTTCTGAAGGTCGTGACTGCCCCATTCTGTGAAGACATTTGTTTAAGTTTATACTTGAGGCACAGGAAGCTTGTGCTGTTTACAAACTTATGATATGCAGTCGTCGATCCTAGGCTCTAACGCAGTCTTTTTTTTTGGAACCCCTTGAAACTCTTGGGCAAAAGCCTGAAGTCTAAGCTCCACACAGGAGCGGAGTTTTGAGACCCTCGCAAGCGGTTGCTGAAGCCACTGTATCGCGCAGTTTCGGTGTCTGAGCCATGGCTGTACCAGAGTTCCACGTCGTTGGTGATGCGCTCGTTGACGTGATCGCCAGTGGCCTGGCCCGAATACCATCTTGGGATGGTGACGCAGATGCCGCCAGCATCGACGTGAAAATAGGCGGGGCAAACACGAATGACCGTAAGCCCAGTAAGCCCTGAGAATGTCTGAGAATGAATGAATCCCCAAACCATCCTAAACCCGAAAGTCGAGCCCGTAAATCCTAGAGCTCGAAACCCCAAACCCTAACCAAACCTGTTGGCGGTGGCAGAAACAGTCTCAAGTCTTAGCTCCTAGGCCCCGAAGCTTGGAACCCCAAAGCATCAAAATGAATCTCACAACTATAGAAGCTTGAGCAACTACGAGCAATATGCCCCTGGATTCCTCGTATTGGGCTTACTATGGTTGGTCTCTGTTCGCCTATTCCTACTGTTAAGACGGCCAGCTACAACTCTTACTATCCTTTTAGCAGTATCAGGCGAAAGCCTAGTTGCTTCAGACAGACCCTTTGGTCGAGCCGTGTTGCCTAAGGGCTTGCGATTTAATAAGCATATCAGAGTTGGAAAGTTCTACATACAAAACCCAAGACCCTCAACCTGGACCTTCACCGGAAGCCGTGCAGGCGGGAGCGCGCTCAACACGGCCGTGCACCTGGCCTCTCTCTTGCAGGGGCGCTGCCCTGTGTCATTCTATGCAGCCTGGCTTCATGTCACATCCCTTTGTTATGGGGTTGGAGTTCACCCCAAATCCGACACCACTTCAAAATTGAAAACCCAAGACACTCAAGGTGGACAGAAGCAGACAAGATCCATTTGCAATCGGCAAGTTTGCCTGCTGCCTATAAAGATTCCGGATGCATCAATGCGAAGAACAGGGGCCTGAACATAGCGGCCCCCGTATTAGTATTCGGCTCCATTGCAAAGGAATATGTTCTTCTTGAGCAGCCGTAGGACACGTTGTAACAAGTCGTGATATTGTTGCCAGCGGTTCCATTGCAAAGGGATATGTTCTTCTTAAGCAGCCGTAGAACACGTTGTAACAAGTCGTGATATTGTTGCCAGGTATCCTCGCCAACACATTTTTGTACTTACTAGGACTCCGGAAAGAGAGTCTACAGCGGTTGTTGGGTTTAGGAAATTTGTAATCAGGGCCGCAAGTACTTTATTGGTTTTGTTAATGTAGTTAAATATCATCCAGTTACAGTGTGTCCTGCCCACGGCAACCCTAAACCCTAAACCCTGTGTTGGCTGGCCTACAACCCGAGCCCTATATAGCATCGTCTTCGGGCTCAAAAGGCTTTGCATCCGGGTGCTTAGGTTAGAGCCTTTAAGTAAGAAGCCGCCGTGTGTAGTTCAGGCTTGCGTCGGCAACGACGCCTTTGGGAAGATGTTAGAGTCCCATTTACGGCACCTCGGACGAGAAATCTCTTGAGGGGTGAGGCTTAAGGGGTTGGGAACTCAGGGTTCAGGGGTTGGGTGTCAGGTTCAGGGATTTCGGATCGGCGACGGTGTTCGGTTTCAGTACGCACCAACTGTCAATAGCACCCTAGTTCAGCCCTGCGCGTAAACTGTGTACCGCAATTGCTAGACACGACAGCATAGCAGAACAGCTACTGTTCTGTAGTCTGTTGAGATTTGTTAATGTATATAGTTATACGGCCGAACAGAGAGACAGAGAGCGAGCGAGAGGTAACTCTATGCATGGAGCGCAGGTGTGTGTGTGTGTATATATATATATATATGTATATAGAGATAAACAGACAGGTATGTATATGTATATGGGTGTACACTACCTGCTCTAGCCAGGGATTTGGTTTTCTGAAATTTGCAAGGCGCCGACCATGATGGCTCCGTATATAGGCAGCCACTCTTAGTAGTAGGGTAGGTAACAAAATCCGTTTGGGGTATTACGATCCCCACATAATCCCAAAGCCTAAGATTAGTTCCCCTAGTAAGCAATAGTATGAGGAGCCCTTGAGGCTTATTAATGTTGGCACCGCAATACTTAAAGTAGGACGTGGGTAGATGCTATACTATACAATACTTCTCACAAGGACTCCGAGGTGATAGTTCCCTACACCCTAATAAACCCTAAACCCTACACCGTAAACCCTAAACCCCCCACACGACGGCTATATAACTTGTAGGTCCAGGCTTGGGGTTTCAAAGACTTACAGTTCGCAGTCTCCTCCCGCCGAAGTTCGGTTCAGGTTTTAAAGTTTTTGGTGTTTAGGGTTTGGGTTTAGGGTTTCTAGGGTGAGGGGTTTAGTGTTCAGGATTTAGGATTGCATGGTTATGGGTTTGGGTTTAGGATTTTCTGGGTTCCGGTTTAGAGTGCCCCGGACATTCATGAATTCATCCAAGAAGTTCTGACATGAAAGGGCTGCACCCTAAGCTTTGTTCTAGCCGGTTCTAGCCATGTAGTATAGGTTGGATACTCACCAAAATTATTTTCGTAGACTTCCTCATTATGCTTATAACTTTTTTCAATACGCCTCAAGGCCCTGAAGCCCCGTTCTAATTTTCAGTATGACAGGACTCACAAACATAAACTGACTTCCATCCTACTTATTGCAGCTCTGTTCTGTTAAACTGTAAACCCAAGAGGGCCAGCAAAGGACCCTTAAAGCTAGCTGCCACACTCGCATATTATTAAAATACATACAGCAGCAGGTTGAAACCATGTAACAACCCTGCTATGAGAGCAAAACCCAGTTCCCAAGCCGCAGGTCAGCTTCAGTCGAAAGTCACGTGGCGGTGTCCTCGAGCTTGTGCACGGGCTCTTGCTTGGCACCTGGACGGATTTTTTGGATTATCCGGAAGTAAGCACCGCTGCACTTGCGCAAGTCGGCTTGCAGTGCTCGGCTCAAGGGCGTTCGAGATTCGAGATATAGCGCCCTCTGTAAATGAAGCCCTGCAGATTCCACGGGTCATACACTACAGAGTTTATCTCCTTCTTTCCCAGGTATGTTACTGTGGGCTATGCTGGAGTGTTGTGCTGGTGCTGTTTGATGTGCAGGGCAAGTCTACTCGGGGTTTACATCGATTGGCCCCCAAAGCACTTCTCAAATTTGAACCCCTACGTCCGAGCTCCTGAGACCAAGACAGACTCGAAATCCTAGACCCCAAACCGTGCATCCATTCACCCTAAAACGACCCCAAACTTTTACCACCCAGAGATCCCCAAAGCCGTAAGACCCCAAACACACATAAATGCAGTATTATTGTTTTGAAGCTCAGAGTCACAGTTATGATTGCTATTTATCATGACTGTTCTTAGTACGATTAAACAAGCTTTAGGTCGCTTATCGTGAGCCGTTTTGGCACTGCTATGATGTTGCTACGAATTTGACAAAGAACCTGCCTAAACCCTGACGCCTATGGCCTGAAGCCTTAAACTAACCTAAAATGCCCTCCTCCCCGAGCCCCACAGGTACTTTCAGGCGATCCTGGCCGCGCGTTCATCACAGCAGCCGGCGCTGCTGCAGCTCTTGGAATAGCCGAGCTGCAGCCGCTAGTGGAG